TTTTTTTTTAATATTTACTTGTCTGATATTCTTACATCAGCTCTCTCAAAGTCTTCCTCGATTGTCACAGTGGATCTTGAACCAGCTGGAGCGCTTTCCACTCCATCGGTGGTACTCTGCTTTCTGAAGAAAGCGTTCATGCGCTGTAGTGATTTCAACCGCTCGTCATTTTTTTTTTTTTTCCAGGCACTTAGTAAAATGCTTTAAAGAAAAATATTTCGGATAGAAATTAAGGTCAATAAACCTATATTAGCTGCAAATTGTACGATTTGGAAATATTTGGTGAAAAAGTGCCATTAATTACAGGTACTTACTGTTTTTGAAATAATTCACTTTTCCTTGAATAGAACGATCGGTATTTCTGTTCGAGTAATGCTTAGCACAGATGCCACACCTAATCTCCACTTCGCTGATCACCTTACTGCCTTCAAGCTGAGCTATCTCTAAAACATAATATATATATTTAGGCACTGCCTAAAAGCGGAGCTCCCTATACGGAAGTCACGGGTAGCCCATTTTAAATGAATCAGAAAGGTAAAAATAAGATCGGGAAAAAATCGTCAATTATTTTATATTCGAGATGAAGATACTTTCTCCCATAATAAAAACCATGCAGTGAAATCGAATCGAAATGCATCATATTGTTTTCTTTGCGCGATTATACTCTCCCACTAAGCAATTTTGTACACAACTCACCACCACCCCCAGGGGCTAGTTTTGTTTTTGGAAGATTCTTCGACAAAGTACGTTTTCCATGGCCGACATTTTTAAGCTTTGAATTCCTAGTTAATTTCTAAAAAACGAAAGATAACTACAGACAATCTAACACAATATGAGGGTTAAGTGAAATTTACTTGGATGTCTTTCATTGAAATCGAAATTTCGGTGATTTCCTAATCTTTTTATGGACAAATGAACAAGGCATACAAAGACAAACTAGAAAACTGCTTAAGAAAAGGTGAGCTAAACATAAACTCAGTACTTTTTATTTCTTTTACATGACAATGTTAGGTTATCCATATGAAGAGTTTAGGTTTTTATAAGAACCTATTTTTACCTCAATGAAGTTAAAAGAAAATAAATGATTTGGTAGCATCAGAGAGTAAATCGGCTGGAGATCATAACTGTCACCAAATGTGTTATTAGTTAAAAAATAGTTTTCTGTTCCTAATTCTTCATTAAAATATTTTTAATCCTTTCGTATATAAGCCTTAACTACTTTTCGATAAGCTTGAAAACTTTTAAGCTTAAAAGCTTATAGATTTTGAGATTCGATTTCAATTCGAATTTTTTTCCATCTGTTTTCATGCGCGAGTAAAATACGGACACGAACGAACGAAATAGAACTTTCGAAAACAAAAGTTTACATTCAGTTGAAGTTGTTAAAAAACAACTGAGACAAAATAGAAAATAATGCAAAATGGAATGCAAAATACAAAATGACATGAAACTACATTATCAACATCCCGCTCTGCCACATCTATCTCTCTTTGAATTCTCTCTATGTTTTCTTGAGATTGTCCTAATCCTTGTTCGTCGTTTTGTTTCCGTTGCTCGACTCGATTCATCGCTCCTACGATCAATTTCCTTGAGTCCTGTCCAGCCTCTTCTAAGCTCTGCAGTTTGTGGTTTTGGTAATTCAAATTAGCGCGTTTTATTGGCTGGTGTTCAACTTCCACTTGTTTATATACCTTGTGGGTTTTATGGGCGTTGAAGCAARCTTCACATATCAAGCCATTACACTGCGCACAAAATGAATCCAAGACTTGCGGCTGTTCACAGCAAACACAATCCGATAGCCCTGGTTGGTTTTCAATARTTTTCATTGCTTGCAGCAAGTGTAATAGAGAATCAAAGTAAAATGAAGACGGAAGCTTCGTGGGATCGCCGCCTGGCACAACCATCGTCGTCTTGCACWTYGGGCAGTCCATTCGATAGTCGCCTTGATTCCCTCTTGTCTCGTACCAATGAGCGATGCAGTGTGTACAAAAACTGTGAAGACATAATAGAGTCTTGGGATGGGTAAATATTTCTGTACAAATGGAACAAGTGAGTTCTCTTTTGAAGGTGTCTGTGATGTCTTTGAGCRATTTGAGTGCAGCCATTTTCGCAGGGATGCAGAATGTAATGAATCAGGTTTCTTGAGAGAGTCATATTCAAAGGAGTCACGTGACGACCCTATGGAGAGAGCGTCATGGTAACAGACAATGAGACTCATAGCAACGCCAGTCTCTTAACGGTTTTGTTTTGAACATTCTTATTGAAAAGCTTTTGTAGCGCAAATCTTTATGCTATATTCTGATTAATTCTTTAAAAGTAAAAATTACCTGATTTGAAATAATCAATAAAGGTAAAAAAAAGGGTATCGCAGGATGGTTGAATTCAGTATATAAATCTCAAATTGTCTTGGTGGCTGGATTGTTGCTTTGTTTGCTATAATTACTTCTATCACATGGATTTTTATGGCGCAGCCAATTTTAACTGCCAC